CTGAAATGATATGCTAATACGGCAACTTAAAGTCATAGTCTGTCCCATAGTCAGTTACGGCATCTTTATTCGCGCACATAGGATAACAAATTCGTACAGGTATCACAGAGTTGACAAGGTCAACTCTATTTTTTCTCGTTTTTGATATATTGCTGCGTTTTCAACTCTACTAATTTTCGTATAATCATAATGATGGTATCTATATTTATACAGAATTTTGTATTATTATGTTTTTGAATTTTTACTATTGTATTGTACTGGGTTTGCTATATTTTGTGTTTCCTAAATTTTAATGCTGTAGAGAAAAATTTTTTAAACGATGAGCAAATGATAATAATTAGCGAATAAATATATTCATATACCTACTATGTACATATATTTTATACTATAATTGCGTGTATGTATGTGTAATTTAGTTTTATTATTTGAATTGAAAGTTTGCTTGCCTCTTTAAAAGCAAAATGTAAAAGTTCAACAACAAACGGCAAAAAAAAAAAATAAAGAAAATAATTTTCCATTTACTGTAAAATACTTCCTGTCATGACACTATAGTTTTTAATTTATTGTTCTTTTTTTAATGTTTACAATTTTAGCGCATTTCCAAAAAATATTAAGAAAAATGTGTTTAATAGTTTCAGGTTGTCCGTATGTTTGTGGATCTGCTTACCTATCCGTGTGAATTTCAGTTTTTGTTAAAAAAAAGTCTTCCTAATTGCATTTTGAAATTTAAGTTTGTACAAATTAGCATTTGTCAAACAAATTTGAATTGTTACTAAATTTAATCTTATTAGAAGTGTAATTTAACTAAATTAAAAAAGATTTTAAATTTTAACAATATTTTTGCAAAAGCGGTGGCAATATAAACAGTTAGAAAATAACTCAAATACAAATCAGTTAGTTTAAACTGAAATTTGAGTTTAGCCAAAAAAATTGTCTGCTGTTGTTTTTAATTTTTAATTTTGAAGAATGTTTCGCTTTTCGTATATTAGTGATGATATATTTTAATTGCCATTATGATTGTTACCGTCCTGTTGAAGAAAATTAAAATATACATAATGGTAGATAATGTATTATAATATAAATACAAATTGTACAATAAGATATTTAAAAAATATAAATATGTGTAATTCGAAATAATTTGTTAATATCTATTAGCTCTCTTTTATAATTATGTTGAAATATAATATATGAATAAATTAAAGAAAGAATGAAAATAGATTAAAATCGGTAAATCAAAGAGAAAATGTTAAATAGAAAATTTTTGCTGAAAGAGGTTATAGTTCTATTACCAAAATCCCATTTACAGTAGATACGGTTTTATACGGTTAATTATAGTTAAATTGTGGCGCTATTTTGTTTATTTTCTTTGAATGTAAAACATTTTTTATAATCGTTAGTTTTGATTTGATGGAATCAAATTAATGCGTTACTTCACAAATATCATATTACAAAAACTTAGTAATTATTAAAAATGCTTATTATTCTTTTTTTCTATTCGTAATATTCATTGGATTAAATTAATAGCTTGTACTAAGATATTTGCTCACATTTTCTAATTCACCTAACTCCTGTTCAGTATAACAAAAAAGAATCTGATCAGAAACATAATTCTATAAATTACTTACGAGTAATTATCAGGTTATTGAATATAATACAGGGTGGCGCAAAAAGAACGATATGTTTAGAATTCTTGATAACTTTTTTATTTATTAATTTTTTTTATTTCAGAGTCTTGTTAACAAGACTTGGCAAATTTATAATGGAGCAGTACACAACGCAACAGCGAACAAAAATCATAGAATTTTACTATCAAAATCACAGGTCAGTTACTTTAACTCGGCGAGCATATCGGCGGTATTTCAATGTGCGGAATCTGCCATCTGCAGCAACAATAAACCGCCTGGTAAGAAACGTACAAACTCGTAGAAGACCGCGTACGGTCCAAACGGAGGAAAATGTTGAACGTGTAGTCAACAGTGTAGATGAGAATCCAGGAACATCAACAAGGAGACGTTCGACACAGCTGGGACTATCACGAAGATCCCTTCAGAGAATATTGGCCTCAATACGCATGTTTCCATATAAAATTCAGTTTGTGCAAGAGTTGAATCCGATAGACTATCAACAAAGGCTTGATTAAGCCATTCCTTTCCAACAAAAAGCAGAAGAAAATCCAAATTTCATACACAATTTGATAATGAGCGATGAAGCTCACTTCCAATTAAATGGTTTTGTTTATAAGCAAAACTGCAGAATATCGGCGACGGAGAACCCACGCGCACTACATCAGCGCCAGTTACACCCACTTAAATGTACTGTTTGGTGCGGTATATCGTCCGAAAGGATAATTTGCCCATATTTCTTTGCAGATGGACATGGCGACGCAGTTACCGTTAATGGCGCTCTGTATAGAACTATGCTGGAAAATTTTTTGAGGCCAGCAGCGAAAAACCATCCACAATTGTGGTTTCAGCAAGATGGAGCCACTGCTCATACTGCAAGGGAGACAATGGCTATTTTACGGGACATTTTTGGTGATCGCATTATTTTGCGCAGAAGTGTTTTTGGTTGGCTTCCGCGTTCACCAGATTTAACAGCACCAGACTGTTTTCTTTGGGGTTATTTAAAAGAAAAGGTGTATGTAAATAAGCCACAGGCCATAAACGAGCTAAAAAACAATATTCGTGATGAGATCAGAGCCATTACGCCTGATATTTTGCGAAAAGTGATGGAAAATGTGCTGGAAAGAGCACGAATTTGCGAAGCAGCTAATGGCCACCACTTGCCGGATATAATTTTTCATATTTAAACCAAAAAATTTGCCATTTGCGTATTTGTATTTACCAAAAAAAAAAAATTAATATTTTCATTTAACTAAAAAAGGTATCAGGAATTCAAACCATATCGTTATTTTTGCGCCACCCTGTACTTATCTAATGTATTAATTAATATATTTTTGTGTATACTAACGTATATATATCATGTGTAATTTTAACTTAACAACAGTAGGTGTACATTTTTATAAAAATTATGACGAAACATATGAATCTTTCTGCGAACCGGTTGGTTTATTTTTTTTTTACTATATGATTCATTAGGTATTAATTTATTTTTAGATAAGTTTCAAAAACATTTTCAATAGTATTGATTCGAAAATATAAAGTGCCAAACATAATTTGCAATTTTGAAATTGATTTTAATTTAAATGAATCAAAACTCATTTATTTATTTTTTTGAGGAAATATTTCATAATTGTAATTAGTATAACATAGTTATTCATTTTATGTTTTCATAAAATTAACATATTTCTGTTCTTGAATATATTTTTAATTAAAATTATGTGTATTGACTTCCACTATCAATTGAACATCAATCATTTCTTTTACTATTCATATCACATCCCTGAGTATTTTAAAAATATTAGGGAGCTTAACATCCATATTAAATATGAAATACTTCTTTTGTTTTTTTTTTTTTAACTATGAATAGTTTTATTACACTTCTTATCAAAGTATATCTATTAAAAAGTAATTCGACTTGTTCCATTCCGTTAGTTTTCATCAAAGTATATCTATTAATAAGTAATTCGACTCTCCGTTTGAACCAAACTAATGCAATCACTCATCTATATTTGTGTACAAAAAATTCCCTTAGCTAAAAGAGTTAGGCAATATATCTTCTGATTTTCATTTTTATACATAAGAATTTTTGGGAGAGGGACAGAAAGCAATAGATGTCTACCTGTTTTTTTTTTATAATGTATTTTTAACAGTATAGAGAAAAATATTAAGAATTTTAAAAGCGGGAGTTTTATTTTTGTAACTTATTCCAGTACAAGATGGCAAAAAATGTGTATTCATATCATAAAAGCGAAGCAGGAAAAAGTGTTAAAAAGAAATTATTATAATTTATATAATATAATTTTGCAAAATAATAAAAATAAATTTTGAAAAGAAGCACAATATTAAAAAAAAATTAAATAATTGTGAAATACATTATTTGAAGTGTTTGAGATATAATTTTGTGAGTGAGGAGAAAAAGCCGACACGAAAATTTCATTTGTTGCCAAACACGTCTTTTCAAAGTTTATTTTTATTATTTTGCAAAATTATATTATATAAATTATAATAATTTTTTTAAACACTTTTTCCCGCTTCGATTTTATAATATGAAATACACATTTTTTGCCACCTTGTACTGGAATGAGTTACAAAAATAAAACTCCCGCCTTAAAATTCTTAATATATTTTCCTATACTTTATATAGGGAAAAATAAATAACTCCCGCTTTTAAAAATACATTATAAAAAAACAGGTTGACATCTATTGCGTACTCTTTCCCACTCCCAAAAATTCTTATGTGTATAAAAATGAAAATAAGAAGGTACACTGCTTAACTCTTTTAGCTAAGGGAATTTTTTGTATACAAAGATTGGTGAGGATTGCATTAGTGTGGTGTAAACGGAGAGTCGAACTACTTATTAATAGATATACTTTGCTTGTTATGTCATAATTGGAGAGTTTGGTGTTGATTGACGAACTGTCTCGATCCTCTCTTAAATAACAAAAATTATATTATAACAAAATAACAAAATATTAGTGTCAATCAAATATTGATTTTACATAAAAATCATTGATTACATCCAAAGAGTATCCAAAGTAGAGCTAATAAAAATCATGTTTTCTTTTTATTTGGTATAAGGCTGTAATTTTTGTATAAATAAAATTGTGAAAAAAAATAATAAAACGATAGAAAATTGTTTACTAACAATAAATATTGCACAATTTTTAATTTTATTTGCGTTTTATTTACTTTTCTCTTTTTTCTTAGTTTTTTTTCTTTTTTTTATACATATTATGTTATTTTTATCCCCTACTATTTTACTGTGTACTGTACGCTCTCCTCTCACAAGCATTCATTGAAGTTGGGAAAACAAAACAAAAACAAATAGAAAACTTGAATGATTTCATTCAAAATTATTAAGCAGCTGAGTAGCAGTAGACGTAAATTAACCATTGTTGGGTTAAGTTAAAATCGCGTTTAATCGGTAAATTTTCTATTTTAAGTTGTTTATTAATTTTTAAATAACTGTGGAGAATTTAATAATTTAAAGAAACAAAATTTGGATTAAATTATGAAAACGGTTTTTGCTTGAAAAGAAACGGAATCGTAAAAAAAAAACTAACGGTAATATCAAAGTGAAATTTAATTAGATTTGTTTCTCATAAGATTTTGATATTATTTTGAATTTTACCTTTCGAGTTTTATTTTTTTTAGTTTATAAGCATAAAATGGTTCTCATTGTAATTTTAGTTTATTTAGTATAATAATAAATTTTTTGGGAATATTTTTGTTTCATAATCAATATTGTAAGTAATTAAAGTGTCCTGAAAATATTATGCTATTTTTACTGTTGTTGTGTCACTCAAGGTAAAGAAAACAAAAAAAAAAACAAATAATTGAAGTGAGCTTTTCATTTTGTTGGATTTATCATAAATTACATACATACATTATATGTATAAACAAATCGAATATGTAGATATTGAGTCATAATTTGTTTTGCGTCTGTATTTAATAATAGCAATTACTAATTACCAACTATACGAGTATGTCCTTAACATTCGCGAATTTTTTAAAATCAGTGAATACCTTAAAATATTTGAAACTTTTAAACAATTTATTAATGTTTAAAAATTATCAACTATTATAATTTACTTATTTTTTTTTTTGTAGTATCGTAACTTTTTTTTATTTATTATTAATTGGACCTTTTTTAAGTTATTTTATATATTTTTATGTGATATGCCGAAAAACTTAATTTTAATATATTTTCTTTAATGTGGAGCTTAACAGCGTTGTTGAGTTATTTGTTGAATAGAACAGTGAGTTTATAATATACTCAGCATGCCTTTCTTCGCTCAATATGCCTTTTGTGCTTAACATAATATTGTAACATATTTAGCCTCTTACAATATGCATATTTTTAATCTATCCTTTAAGAAAATTTGTGTGCACATAATATGCATCTTTGTACATTGAATATTTTAATTAAATCGTTAAGTGTTTCATATTATTTGTTTGAAATATCTATTACGATAGCACAGTAATTAGTTCGTTCCATTCGGTTCTACAAAAACATTGAATGTTAAACACAATAAAACAATATGTCTTATTGAAAAAATATGTAATGTTAATTTTCACTACATTTACATATTTTGCTATTTAGCCTACATTTATGGAATTCATTTAATACTATAATTTTGTATAAGGTCGTCCACATTACATATATATATATATATATATATATATATATATATGTATATTAAAATTTCATTACTATAATATACCTACCCATTATTTAAAATGAACTCTTCACTTAATTTAAAATTTACAATAGAATAAAATCATCAATTGTGCATTCAAATTAACTAGGTAAATGCGAAAAAAGAAAAATGATAAATTGTTAAGATCTTTTTTTCATTTTGTTTCTTTATATAGTTACTTATATACTAATTGTAGCCATTTTGCTAACTGATTGAATGGAGAATCAAATTGCAAATAGCATAAGAATGCTGTTTTGTAATAACAAAAACTCTTAAGTTAATGACAATAAACTTATCTAAGCAGACTTACTAATTTAAAATGCAAAACATAATTTTTTTCTTATTTACGATATTGAAATCGGTGAAGCGCGACATAAATAATAATCTAGATCTAGTCCGACTTAATGAACTAGTAAGCTCTGATGATTTTATACAGTCTTAAATTTCTTTTTTTTTTGTTGCTTCAATCTTTTGTCTCATTGTTTTATTTTATACTTTTACAATTTATTCAGTAGAGCAAGTAAAGTCGATTATTTTTCTGGGAACTTTGAGTTAATAAAATATTTACACACACATTTTTGACATTTTCCTTTTTTAAATGTAATAATAATACATAATGTGTGTATATGTTTATAATAATAAAATAATGTATATTAAATATTTATGTGCATTAAGGTCAAAAATTTAAAAAATGTTTATTCTACTTCTATTTTGAAAAAAATATGTATATAAAATTGCATGAATTAAATATAAAAAGCCTTGAAAGATTGTAGAAAATTAACATATGGTTCAACATAAATTTTTATCTTACATTTACTATACATAATTGTATATGTACATATTAAAAACAATTATAACATTTTAATTTTAGAGAAAACAAATGAAATTTAAATTGTTTTGGGTACCGAAATATAGCCAATTCCTTAATATTATTCCCTATTTTTTTAGTATGTTGGTTTATATTATGTGTTATTGATTCAATATGCACGGCGGAATGCTTATCTTCACTTCCTTTTCAATTTGTAAAAATTTTTCTTCAGTTTTGTTGAAATGTTCTGAAAATACAAATTTTTTATTGTTTTCAATTGTACATAATGCTTTTTGTATATGTACACAAATATATATGTTCTTGTATGTATTGAGTAGATTATGTATAAAAAATTATGTTACCTCGTGAAATAGAAGCAATGAAAAGCAAGAAAGAACATTTGGAACAAAATATAATGATTTTTCATAGAGAAAAGATAAAATCAAAATCATAAAAAAAATGTATGCCTAATTGATTTCCTCATATCTTTACGATAAATTTCAATAGATAAAATAAAAAAGAATAGGAAATTATGAGAAATTTCTTATATATAAAAAAAAAAGAAAAACCCAAAAAAAAATATCAAAAACAGTGAAATTTTTTATTTAACCTCACCTATGTATGACGAATTTGTAATATAATTTTGTCTGTATAGCGAAACAATAGCATAAGAATAATAAGGAAAATTCATGAAAATTAATTTAATTTTTTCTCCATCGCCTAAGTATATGTACTCATTGGTACCTAACTGTAACTCTTCATGCAAATACATACTTATATTAATATATATTTATTTGTATGTATGCATATCTGCGTATATACATATGTATGTTTATTAATAAATAAAACGAAAATTCTAATTTTTAAACTTTAAAATATTTTCCGTCTTTTTGTGTCGAATAATCCCATTTCGGTTCCAATGAATTGTAATAATTAATAATATAATTATAAAAATTGTAATTTTAACATGAAATTTATAAAATTTGTTTAAAAAAAATTTTTGTATGTGCTTATGTAAAAGTATATTGCGAAATTTTATATGTATGTATGTATTTGCAATAAATTTCTGCATTTGCAAAGAGAAATTTGCATTAAAATTTTATAATGCTACGGAAATTCAGTTTTGACGTCACGTGAAAGAAAATAAATTATTGCATTTGAATTTTTTTGTTTTTATTTTTTTTTGACCTTTTAAATAAAATAAATAAAAAATATAATGTTCAAATAATTTCAAATACAATGTTCAAATAATTCAAAAATGCAATTCTTTATATTTTTTAATACCAAATACTACGATACATCTAAGTTCAGATGATGGTAACGAAAAGAGTAATTTTAGAAAGTTTAGACTGCGAATCAATTACAAAATAATGTCAATCAAATTTTGTTTTTCTGTATATAATAAATCCAGCTTCGGCAATCTGTTTTAAACATTAGTTTTTTGATTTTGTGATATCAAAACTTTTACTGTGTTCAAAGCTATTTACATACATACACACATGAGTATGAAGAAAAATAATAATTCTTTCAATTAATTTTCAAATAAGATGCATTAAAGTGTATACATACTATATAATTTTTGTTTATGCGTATTCGCTTTTAGTGAAAATTTATAGATACGATTGGCTTAATTTTAAATGTAGCTTTAATAATGCTTACGTATATACTTTTTATGGCGTATTCACATTAGTACTTGCATATCTATTCCTTTAATTAATTATACATACATACATAATATACATAATAAAATATTTAAACTGTTACACATGGGTCAAAGGGGGCTTTTATATTAATCCAATTATGTTATTTCCTTTATACGTATAGGTACTTGCACATTATGTAATATGTGTAACAAATTATTGAAATAATCCTACAATATTCATATGTACATATGTATATGTACAAGTATATATAATAAGTACAAATTATAGTTATACATATAATATTGTAACGTAATATTATTTTGGAATTCACTCATCAAAATGACAACATGATTCACTTGGGTACTATTGTGTGAAATAGCTTAACACAAATATTTTATAGAAAGGGTTATAAAAGATCAGCTTTTTTAATTATTCGATAAATAAAAAAAGAAAATTAATGTTATTTTCATTATTAGTTGTTATTTTCTACCTGTTGTTGAAATATTTGTGAAAAATCTCATTATTTTATTTTTTATTTAATTAACACGAACAAACAACTTATAGTTTTTCTTTTGTAAAGGAAAATAATTTAATTAAGTATAAAAAAATCGCTCTAAGCTTAATGTCTATACAAAAATTTTTTTTTTGTTTTTTTCCTTTTAAGTTTCACCATAATAATTTTATTTTTAACGTTGGAAATTTTAATTTATTTATTTTCGAAAAGAAAACTCAAGACGCAAATTGAATGGGTTTTCATTTTGTTTTTCTTTTCGTATTTATTATATGTTGTGTATTTTCTGATAACATGCCAAGTAGAAAAAAAAAGCTTTTCATGTTGACACCTTGAAATTTTTAGCAAGTTTTATTATATGTGTATTTTAGATTTTTTTCTTCTTTTTAGTTTGAAAAGAGTTCACTAACTTTTCACACCACAAATTAAATAAACTGTGTAAAACCTACGTAGTGTGAGTAAAAATAATACTTTATGTATTCATTAATTTAAGGTCATTATTATTTGGCTTTAAATTATGCTTTCGCCTTAAAACAAAAAATATTTTTGAAAAGATTTAAAAAAATATTTTAAAAATCAAAAATTTTATGGGAATTATGTATGTACATATGTATGATCATAATTTTTATATTATTTCAGGTTTGTAATAAAAATTTTATACACTCACTGAATAAAAGTTATGATGCATAATTCGGCAAAAATTTATTTTATAATTATTAAATCACTATATAATTTCTAATAAATTTTGCAACTTTAGTGATATAAAAATTTCAGATGCAAAACAAAAAGAAATTTTTCTGATCAAAATGTAATTTTTCATATAACATATATATATTTATATATATATATATAACATATATATGCTACAGAAAATTATATTTGGTTTAGTAGTTTGAAAATGA